ATCCACACGCCGCTTTCTTTACTTGCCATTGAGGGGGGGGGGGGGGGTGCGTCTAGACAGCAGAACTAAGAGAACTTGAGAACTTGAAGTTTGAACTTGTAGTTTTGTCTCGACAGCTGTCTATGCAAGCGCACGACATCTTGTCCAAGTCGAGTGACGCCCAGCAGATTCAGAATTTTACAACAAAACTCCCTCGCACAACACTGGGCACAGGACTGGGCACGGGACTGGCTCGCACTGGCACTAACACAGGTACACCACGGGAGCCGCCTAAGCGACTCCTGCGAGGGTGGCGAGGCACTTAGCTCCGTGGACCCGCCCACCCCCGCCACAGGGAAGCTCATTCACGACCTGCTCTGCGATGGCCGTGTGAAGAACGACTGAAATGCGCTGCTTCTGCAGCCCCAGCCAGCTCTTGGGGGTCCAAGTCACCTCATCGAGGTACTGGGCCCGCGTCAGCTTGTTCTGTAGCACGTCCGCCGCTCTCCGGAGGATCTCACGGACCCCCTTTCCGAACCCGCCGAACGATTCGAACAGCAGCAGCTGCACTTCGACGCCCTTGTCTTCCCTGGCGTAGCGATAGTCCCCCCCGTAGGACGGTATGCGGGGGTCGCCGCCCACCACCCTGCCCCCCCTGGTATGCCAGCGCCCAGTCCCTTGCCCTCTTTCGCCCTTGCTCTTCCTCTCCCCCTCCATGCCGCCCCCCCGGTACCCCTCCCCCCCCGCCCCCCCCCCCCCTCCTCCTCTCCCCCCCCCTCTCCCTGCCCCCCACCTCCCTCTCCCTCCTCGCAGTAGAGCCCATGCCAGAGAAATCCGACCGCGGAAAAACGCTCTGTAGAGTCCGGCTGTTTCGGGGGTAGGGTAGGGTAAACCCGCTCTAGCCTCGCATATCACTTCCTGTCGTCTGTTGTTTGTTGTGCCCTTGTTTGTACTCTTGGCACCGTGGAGTGCTGGGTGGGGGGGGCGACAGGGAGGATGTGGCCTTGAGTTATGTGTTTGCCGACTCAGGGTGTGTGGCAGCCAGCTGGCTGTGTGTCTTGTGAGCCTGTTTGTGTCTGTGTGTCGCTCGTGCGTGTCGTCATCATCTGTCTCGCGTCCACGCATACCGCGCTGGTGTCCAGTCCGAGCCTGGCTGTTCTTCACCTTACTACCTACCTACCTAGGGTAGACTCCCCGGATCTGACCCCCTACCCCTCAAGTATCATTGTGGGTGAGTAACGGACGTCTCCAGTGGCCGCAACCCCCTACTCCAGCTACCTGCCCCACCCCTCCCGAAAAACAGCCAGAACCCGCCGGCTGGACGCGTCTTTCCGGCCGGCCACCCACAAGCGCTCGGACCTTACGCCGACATGGCCCTCTCTCAAGCCATCGTCGGCGCGGCGACCCTCATGCGGGACGTCGACGACCTCACCGACAGCGCCTTCGACGCGGTCGAGAGTGCGGCGCAGATGTGGTTCCGCAAGATCCAGGCGGCCGGCGACAGGCTGAGCGACGCTCGGTCGTGCATGCGGCCGCCTGCAGTGGACGTCGGCCCGGCGTATGAGCCCTATCAGCACCTCCCTTCGCCACCGCCGCGACCGCCGGATGCATTCGCCGTGCTCTCGACGCCAAGGACGCCCACCGTGGTCCGCAGCTCCTCGCTTATTAGCAACGAGCCCATGTGCGCGCAGTGCCACTCAAAGCTGATCAACAACGGGCTGGCCCAGCGCCAGCCCCGCGGCCTCAATGAGGTCTCGAACGTGTCAGAACGCGCCAACATGCCAGTGGCGCTTCGCCCAAGCCGGAAGAAGCGCTCAAACCGCCGCCGCACCATCTAGGGCAAGGAAGGAGGCCGGAGCGCCGTCCTCTTTCAACCTAGACAGATGTGTATTAGACAGGGCAAAGGCCCAAGCTCGGGAATCGGGCAGCGTCCCCTGTGCAGCGGCCCCAAATGCTCGGGGTGGGATGCGTCTCCTCTCTTGCTTGTGAAGAGAGAGAAGAGAGAGAGAGAGAGACGGAGACCAGAGAGAGGGAGAGAGAGCTTTTTTGCCTTGAGTTACGTATGCCGCAAAAGGGAGCTGGATCAGCGCGTGCCAGCAGGATCTTAAAATCCCTGTGTGGCGGCGGCGTGCCGTCCTCCCTTTCGGTATGTTTTTCTTTCTTTTATCAGACCGTAACAGACCGACACGGCTCTACTGACCTGTTCCGACCTACATCACTTTGAACATTGTGTCCGGATCATGGTCGGAAGGGGCAACAGGTTTACCTACGAAACATGCTACTTCGTAGCGGCACGGCCCGTTTTGGATGTCTGCGGAGATTCTGTCTTAGCACACCAGTGAGTCATTCGGAGTCATTCGATGGCCAGAGTGCGATTGTGTGTGTGTGTGTGTGCGGGAGTTGGTTTGTCGGGAGGGAGTGGCAGCGAGGCTGCTCACCCACGTGCACCGGGCCAGTGCTTGCACTTTGAATGCCGTGGGGCTCCTGCCCGTGTCCGGGTGTGGAGATGCGAGGGTCGCCCCCCTTGCCCCACCACTTTGTGTGTGTGGAGAAATCTACCTTTACCTCGGTCGGATCACGGTCGAAAGCAGCAC